TTTTTGATTCGCATTGTTAAGGTGGATTCAGAGTTCCCTAAAAGCGAGCGTGATTCTTTTCACGCCCAGCGTGATGAAAGTCGATCCCTGATTGGCTGCGTGAAGCTTACGAAGCATGAAAATCACGCCTGGCGTGAAAATAACGCTTGCGTTTCGTGAACTCTGAATCCATACTTAATTGCAGTACTTGTGTCCGTGTTGTAGAGAACTAAACACACACTCGTGTTTGTTGTAGAGAAAAGGTCATATTTGGGTAGTCTACCTGAATCTGAAAAGGACGGTACACCTGAAAGTCAGATGGTTTAACCGTGTCCGGCTCGTGCAGTAACCTACCGCCCCGCTGACCCCGCCGCGCACATATGTGCCAGCAGGCGCGCCGTCCAAATGGGCAGTGGTGGGGCAAGGCGTTGATTTACGCTAACGCACGGCGGGACGTGGTGGGGGCTGGGCGGCGGTGGCGGTGGCGTCACGTAGGTCGGCCTGGACTGACCTCGTGCCACGGCTTTCCCCCCTCAGGCTCGTCACCAGCTCGTCTCGTCCCTTCCGGCTTCGAAGTCGACCGGCCCGATTACGTATACGTACTTTGCGCGCACTCCCTCTGCCCCCCTGGTGCTGCCTGAACGCTTTTCATTTTCCGCGTCATATAAATCCCATATCCGTCAAAACCTGATGGATCCGGAGGGGGGGGGGGCAAAAGACGCGCATCGTAATTCCTCTCGTGTGCTGCTCCCTGCTCCCGGGCGGCGGCTCGTCGGAGGCGGCGCGCGCTCTGGGGGGCGGGGCCGCGGAGGTGGCGCGCCGCCGCGGGGTGGCGCTAGCGGGGCATCATAAACCAATTTTATGATGAGTTGCCCGATTGTCAGGACGTCCCCCCATGCCTGCATTCTCTCATCCCCCCCCCCACCCTTCTCCACGGTGCCCGCTCGCCAGGCCTGCCGCGGTGGGATTTACGACAAAGATCGGAAAAGATCGGAATTAGCGATGCGTCGCCCTGCACATGCATCATCAGGAATGGGTAATGTATGGAGCAGCGGCGGCGCTCCTGCTGCCACTGTGCTGGCGATGGATTGGGCTGGAACCGGCTGGAACATACTTCTTGCGCCGACATGTGTTTGTTTTTCCAACGTTGAGTGCATCAGTGTGCTGCAGGGTTGTATCATCACTAGGGTGAATCACTGTGGTTTTAATAGTTTAGGGTTAGTCTTTTTTATTTTACAGACTTTTTACGTCACGTGCGCGTCTTGCATGATGCACTCTCTGAGGCTAGTTATAGTTATACACACTTTTGTTATTATCATTATTCCTAGTTACAACCCTACGAAGCAAAATGCCAAAAGCCTTCGCAATTGCGAATCAATGCTTTCGAATGCTTTGTTGTTAAAGCCCATGCTTCGCTACTGCGAAGGATTTGGCATTTTGATTTGTAATGTTTTAACAGTGTTTATTTTGTCAACTGCACTGGTAAAAACGATGTCCGATTTTGGGGAGCAAGTATCTTAGTCTGATAAAAACTTCTGTTCAAATTTTTCCCGTTTTGCTCAAAACTCATACATTTATAGGGAGAGGTTAAGTGACCATTCTACAAAGTAATCTATCACTCGCTCTTGCACTGGCATCGTACGAAACTGCCAACAACAGTCCATGACCCCGTAGTGAAGTTATTTGTCCCTACACGACCCAGCCATTTGTTGCGAGCCCGTTCATAAGGCCATTTGCATGTTTGCGTTTGACTCTAACTAGGTAAAGTGGCCGTGCGTTCATTGAGCGACCAGCCATGGCAAGTTCGGGACTAATGTGGCCCTTCCTTCCTGCGCTGTTCGGGCTGCGGCGGCCGGCGGTGCGGGGCCACGGGAAGCTGAAAGGGAGGGGGAGGGGTGGGGAGATGGGCTTGTGTGTCGACAGGGACGTGTCTTACAACAGAACACCCGCTGCACCCCGCCCGCCTCCTCTCCCCTTTCCAGTTAGCCTCAGCTTGCATCTCCGGAAGGAACAGCCAAAGGGGGTCGCAGAAGCGTTTGGCCTGCTCTGCGCGTTAGAGAGGGGGAGAGAGAGAGAGAAAGAGAGATGAGAGATGAGAGATGTTGCACGAGGATCTCTCGTTCTCGTGAGTGCGAGTTTTGGACGTGACTTCTTCGCACGTTCACAGCGCTGTGGCTGCGGGGCCCGCTGTACCGCCCCGCACACTCGTTCACTATGTGCTTGTGTCGTGTATTTTGCGTGCATTGCTGTACCATATTTTTTTCCTTTTTGCGCTGCGTGTTATGATGATGGACGTGATGTAATTCGGTGATCTCGGGAGGCGCAATCTTGTGGACTCGGACCGTTACGCCCACGACGACGACACGTATATAATACCTGGCGGGCCTGCAGGCCCCCCAAGGCCGGCCTGGCCGTAGCCCAGCACGGGCCCCGGGCCCGCACACCAAGAGTTTCTTCAAAGTTTAACGGCCTGCAGGACGCTTATTCGGACACGAGCAGGCGCCGTAAATTTGACGACGATATTGAAGGTAGTTTATAATGGGGTCCCCGAGGCAGGCCTAAAGGGCGGGGGGGCTGGTCCGGGTAGCGGCGTTGGTCTGGTCCGGCCCGGCCTGGGGCCAGCAGCTTACCACCCAATGTGCGCCAGGCTGGGACCGTCTCTGGGGTTAATTAACCTGAGGGGTCCAGCAGTCGAGATGAGGGGAGAGGCTGCGGTGGGCTGGGGACGCTTTGTGGACCCAACTGATCTTGCGATGATACGAGAGCCGCACACCACTTTTCCAGCAGCAGCGATGTGCGGCGGGGAGAGAAGAGAGATGATGGGGTTGAGTCTTGTTATTTTCCAAGGTGAAACGTTGGTCGGGCGAGCCGGGAGAGCCCTCTTCTCCACCACGGCGCACCCATGCTGGTCTAGTCCGCCCTCGGACTGGTCGGCATCATGTAATATTTAGTCAGCACGAAACAGCTAGGCGATCATATTACGGACCCCGAGGCAAACCGGGGCGGGTGGGGCGCGGCGGGCTCAAACGCTAATAGCTTGACCGCCAGGTTGATGGCCAGCCTGCGGTGGGCGGTCGCTTAGCTCGCGCGGCGCGTGCGTTTCGTCAGCCGCCGGAAGAATGCGGTTGAAGAAGAAGGCCGCCATTTAGGGGTTGCATTCAGTTGTCAGAGGTTGAAAAAGTTTCAATGATCGAGAACTTAAAATTTAAAACTAAAATAGCGCTGTCTGTTTAGCCGCTCAAATATTCTTTATATTGTTTTACATTGTTACTCTACGGTAAGCTTAGTATCCTCTGAAAATTGTGCGCCTTGCGATCATTAATGCTAAAATCTAAAGCCGCGTGGACGTCGTGCACCGACCGCAGACGCCCAATGACCGGATGCTGGTCGTAAAGGAGGGCGGGGGTGGCTGGCCGCGCACTGCGGCGTACATCGGGAGGCGTAGAGGAGGAGGAGGGGGTTTATTCGGAATAGCAAATGAAGGTGATAACCGCAGCAGGCGGGCGGTAATAATAAAGCATGTGCTCGCCACTTTGCGCCGTGTACAGTATTGGGGGGTGGGGATGGGGGGGGGAGAGCCGGGTTTTGTTTTTGATAATCTCGCGCCTTATTGCAGTAGTATGTATGTATGTATAGGGAAGGAAAAGGGGAGAGGTAGAAGCAAAAAAAGCTTTCACCCTGCGTTGCGGTGTTTTGAGTGTGTGGTGCTGTGAAATCCCTCCCTTTCACCCTTCCCTTTTTACACAAGTCGCACTTTGCAGTTTTCGTTTTTTATGGAAGAGTTTATTTGGCGCTTTAATCCTTCGCTGTGTGTGCCTCTACGCTACGTGTAACGCTGTCTCTACGCGTCCTGTTCTATATTTTCTAGGTTATTTTCACTCTTTCCTAACCCATTTTCCTCGCCCAGCCCCCACCCTCCTCATCTCTGTGGGTTGCCGGACGCGCTGTATGCCAGTCATAAATTGTCATCTCGGTTCACTAATGCGTCGCCCCTCCCCTCGGCCTGCAGCCGCGCCCCTACTGCTCCACTCCGCCTTCGTTACTATTATTACACATTTGGGAGAGCAGGGGAGGGCGTGGTGCGGGGGTGACTACGTAATTGAAGCCCCTAGCAGGAGAAAAAAGATTACAATAATTTTTACTGGTATTTTCCTCATCACCGTTATTATTGGTTGGGCTTTCGACCTTTAACTTATTTTTAGAATCTGAAACTGTACCTTAACTCGTTACCTTCGGTAATGCGTAGCCAACCCTTTTTTTTCCCCCCTTTCAACTCTGCGTCTCCTGGTCACGCCTGAACTGACTTATCTTGTCGTCGTGGTGGCCACCTTGCCGCAAGAAGGGTTCTGGCCGGTAATTAAACTTGGCCGGCGGGCGTGGCGTGGCGCGTGGGGCGCCGGAGGTATTCCGCCTGTCGGGCGGGTGGCGGGACAAGGGGCGGCAAGTTTGGGTCATTGTCTCGTCGATACCCGGGAGGAAGGACGAGCGGAGGGGATACACACAGGAGGACGGCCGGGCGGCTCTTTTCTCGTCGTAATTTGCGGATGGGTCGTGTGACGCCGCCGCGCCGTCGCGCACCTGACCCCTTTTGCGATACTGACCCCCCCTCTCGCCGGGTGGGGGACCCATCACGCGCCCCGCCCGACCACCCTCAGCCCCGGCGCAGCCCCGGCGCAGCCCCGGGGCGCGGTGATTAGAAACTCTATCGGGCCATGGAAATGAAGGGGTAGCAGAGGGAAGAGGCGGGTTCAGGTTTGCGGCACAGAGCCGCCCCGCTTGCCTCGGCTTGCCCCACCACGCTGCTGCGCTGCGTGACGCAGCTGCTGCCTTTTCGAATCGCCGCGCGCGGCAACCATTAGGGGCACAGGCAAATTTCACTGCACGCATCGAATCCCAAATGAGTCGTCCGTGCCCGCTGAGCTCGGCTGAGGCTGGTCTGGTGTCTGCATTGATGCGGTGACCACCGTGTGGCCATATCACTCTTTGACTGACGTGTTGCTCTCTCTCTCTCTTGTGTGCAGGTCCGGGGCCGGGCGCGCCCGTCCTCGCGGCCGTCGACCTCCCCGGCAGCCCGGGGCTCTCGCTGGGCGGCGACCTGGCGGGCGGCGGCATGTCCGGCGAGGTGTCCGGTGCGTCGGGCTCGTCCAAGTCGGGCGTCGGCGTCGGCGGGTCGCGGCTCAACAGCGCGGGCAAGAAGACGGGCTCGCGGTACGGCGACGCGTCGCGGGGCACGGCCCACGACGCTCCCAGGCCGTACTTCGAGGACGTCGGCAGCCGCAACGTGTCGGCCGTCGTGGGGCAGACTGCCGTGCTGCGCTGCAGGGTCAAACACCTCGCCGAGCAAAAGGTGAGTGACTGGTAAAGGAGTTTGTTGTGTATTGCCCGAGGTATTGCCTCCCCATACTTTTCCTTGCGTTTCATTTTTATTTTATTCCTTTATTGCTGTAGTATAGGTTTTGGTCGGGACCCATTTTAATTTCCCCCTCCCGATCTCTCTCTTCCCTTTGTTTCTATTACACGACTTTTGAGTATCTCGAGAAGGGAGCGAGAAAACGACGACGACGACAACGCGCGGCGCGGAGAAATTCGAAGAGTTGGTGTTATTCTTAAAAATAAAAAAAA